TAATGGGTTGGATTACATTTGAATATTAAATGGAATATTAACTAGTTTATTAGATTAACAAAGCGATTGATTATTAAAAAGTAGAATCATCAAAAACTAACTTTTCAATTGATGTTAGAATTGATTATCATAATAAGATAAAATTTTACATTTTACAGTTAGAAAAATTTTTTTTTTAAAATAACCTTGAATTTTAAGGAGAAGAATTTGTAAATGTTCGCCAAATTTAATCAAAAAATGTAAAATAAATTTTGGTAAAACTTGAAATAACTGAATGTAATGAATTTATATTCATAATATGAATGCTAAAATTATTCTCCAAATTAATTAAAAAAAAAATTTACTACAAGAGAAAAAAAAAGTGAGAAAAACGAATATATTTTAATAATGCTCAAATTACGCATTACTAAATATGAATTTTGTCAAAGCTAAAAAAAAAAAAAAATTTACAAAGGAATAATTAATTGTACTAAATTTAAAAAATTATTATTAAAATGTAAATTATTGCATTTTACTTTGCCTTTTTTTTTTTTTTTTTTGAAAATAAAAATACTAATTTTCCATTCTTTTTTTTTTTCAAAATTTTCTTAAAATGAATGGTAAAAGTTAGAGTGAAATAAAAACAACATTCTATATTACAAATTATATTCCATTATTTTTTTAATTCCAAAATAAAATAGAAAAGAAAAAACTCATTTAAAAAAATCAAAATTCTTGTCAAAAAAAAATTTTAATAAAATTTCTGTTTTTTTTTTTTTTTTTTATTAATAAAAATATATTACACAATAACAGAAACAAAGGAATGGTATTTATTTATTCCAAATCAAGAAATAATCATTAATTAAATAATTCACTATTAATTGAATAATTTAATTAATTTGTAATTAATTTCAAATTAATACAAAATAGAATATCATATTTATGAACACAAGAGAAATACCGTATAACTGTTCTCAAAGAAAATTTAATTATTTCTGCTTCTTTTTTTTTTTTTTTTTTTTTTTAATTATAAAAATTTTCAAATGATAGAAGTAAGTATATATTGTTGATTAATTATTCATTAATTAATTAAATTAATAAGAGGAAAAGGAATATTGCAGAAGGAAAGAAAAAAAAGCGAAACACTATGAATAATTTAAGAAAAAAATTAAATGAATAAATGTTAAAAGGAAATGAAAAAACGAGAAAATGAATTTATTAAGAAAGTAACATATTTCATTAAATAAAATTAATAGCAATTTTTGTCGTTTTTTTTTTTTTTTTTTAAATTAATGAAAAATTTTTGTTTAGTTTTATTTTGAGATGTGAAAATTTTGTTGTAAAATGAATGCTTTTTAAGCTATTGCTACATTTTTTTTTTTTTTTTTTCATAGTGAAAAATTTGTGCCACCTGTCCCATAGCATATATTATTATTCACTTTACAATTTTTTTGAAAAAAAAAAAAAAAAAAACATGACAATTCATTTTAAATGCAATTTTTGCTAATTATACATTTTGAAAGATTTTTTTTTTTTCACCTCTTTCTCTCTCTCTCTCCCTCTCTCTCTCTCTCTCTCTCTTTCGTTTTCTTTCCTTTTTCTTTTCTCATTTTTATTACAATAATGTAAAAATATTAATGGGATGGATGAGAAATGAATAAATGAATGAATGTCAGCTGTTATTAGTAATACTAAATAACAACGAATCTTTTAAATTATTACGATATGCTATTGAAATAACAAAAAATTTTTATTCTTTCATTAATTATAATATACATTGTTGTACATATCAGTTTATCATTGTTGATAATTGATAAGGATAGTTATAGATTAGAAATTAAAATGAAAAATGTATTGTTTGAAATAAATTTTATCATACAGATGTTTGCATAACTCTGATAATGGCAATAATAATAATAATAATTAATAATAATAATAGTAACAATAATAATACTACTACTACTAATAATAATAATAATAATAAGAAGAAGAAGAAGAATAGCAGTAGTAATTAGTAATAATAATGATAATACTAATGATTGCTAATAATAGTAATAAATGGTAATAGTAATAATTAATAATAATAAATAATAACAATACTAATGATCGCTGATAATAATAATTAATAATAATGATAACAATAATTAATAATGATGATAAATAATGGTAATAATAGTAATAATGATATTTTTGTTATCAAATGAAAAACAATGAATGTAAAAGAAATAATAAGATGAAACAAATTAAGAAAAGAATTATGAAAAGAATTGGACAAAGAAAATTATAGATTAAAAATTAAATATATATAACTAAATAACAAGTGAATAATTAATGAATTTAGATAGTGAATTGCTTTAGCAATGATAACTGATTTTAATTAATAATAAAATATTGCAAAATTCATTTTCACTCCATCAATTTATATAAATCTAAAATAAAAATGTAAGGTTTTTGTACTAATCATTCATTTGGAAATTTTTATTTTGAAATATTTAAAAGTGCACTGGTTTTTCTCTGGAATTATTTGAATTCTCAAAATTCTCTGCTTTTTTTCATTTATCAATAAATGATAAATTGTGAAACTGATAATATCATAGAGATGACAATGAGATGCTATTATGAATCAATATTCATTCATTTTGCTATCACATAAAGACAAACAAATGACATCAAAAAAATGTAGTGATAGAGAACTGTTTAGATAACAGTGAATCCGGTAAACCGAAAACTGGATTCGGTTTAGATAACAATCATTTGATAGAGCAGAATGCATCATTTGTTGTTAATCACAGACATTTTTTGACAATAATAATGATGAGACATTGAAAATTGCTGATAAACAAATGATAAGTGATATATTCCTTATTATTATAAATTTGTTTCAGAGATAAACAAAATTTTAGACAAAGCTAATATTAGCAATTTACTCATATTACATATGATAGCTGATAAGTTTACCCTAAAAAAGAAACGTAATAAACTGATAAAGAAGCATAACAAACTGATAATTAACACTTACTGAAAATTCCTCTTTCAAAGAAAACATTTCTTTAACTTTGCTTTCTTGCTTAACAGAAAAATAAGAGAAAAAGTTTATTTTTAAAATCGAAAAAAAAAATTCAATTACTAATTTGATATGTAAAAATGATCAATAAGAAAATTTAATTGAATCAATCAATTATTAGCTAAACTTTAGTGATAAATTTTGTCTAGAAAAAAAATTTATGTTTAATCTGCAATCTTTGCTTTCCTTTTTTTTGATTACATAAATATTGGAAAAATGAAATTTGTAAAAATTTATGCGAGCTAAATTAAAAAATTTTTTGAAAAACGTCTAATAAGAAGATTTAATTTTCTTAAAAAAGAAGAAAATAAAATTAATTTAAAAAATTATTCTTATTAAATGAAATCTAATATTACATATAATACTATAATTTTGAAAATATTTAATTACTTTAAATGTTTACATCATATATATATACATATATTTTTTTTTCTTTTTAGCTCAATAAGCTTTTGTTTCTTTCCCAATTATTTACTCTTTTTTTTATTTTTTTTTTCCGTTAACATTTAAATTGCTAAAATACTAAATGAATGATTTATTAAATTATTTTAAAAGCATAAAACTAAAAGATTTTTTTTTTTGTTTATTTATTTCTAACCATTTTTACTTTAACTTTTACTTTTTCGTTTTTTTTTTTTTTTTTAAACTAGCAGAAATAATTTCACTTTTCTCTCTTTTTTTCCTTTCCATTTTTTTTTTTTTGAATAGAAAAAAAAAATAGACGAAACATTTATAATGCCATAAAGCATTTGCTTTTTAAATGTTAGACAAAAAGCAAACTTTGTTTTAGATGACTGTTTGTTAGGCTTTCTTCTTTTTATGAATTATTTCAAATGCTATTTTTTTAATTCTTTGATTTAAAACACACACATACACACACACACACGCCACATACACACATACATACACACACAAACATAGATATATATTATAGCCATATAATTGGCATATACTTTTTTTAACACCTGTACACCTGTATCTACCTGTTCATCAGAACAAATAATAAATACTCCCATTACAATAGACTTATTTCCATATTGTAGCAGTCATCGTTATAAGCATTATTGACTATTTATTAGGATTATTATTATCATTATTATCATCATCTTACAATCTAAGTAATAAAATATAACTATTTGCAAATGCATAGTTATATTTTATTAAATTGAATTGAATTATAGCAATGTATTATTTTCTATTTATTTAATTTTTTATTTACCCAATTTATTTATTTATTAATTTATTATTATTATTATTATTATCATTTTGCAGTTTTGTTAGAAAACCATGAAATTGTATTATTTTTTTTTTTAAAAAGCATGAACTTATAGAACTTTGTATAGCATTAAAATCTATTAATATATTTCTTTTTCATTTCTTTTTTTTTTTTTTTTTTTTTTTTACCCCATTATTATTATTTGTATTTGAAATTTACATATAACATTAAAAAATAATAATGCAAACATTTTAATCATTTGATGATGAATCATTTCATAAAAAAAATGAATAATAATAATAATAAGATGGCATAAATAAAACTTATCAAATCTGATTATAAATTGTACTTTTATGTAATATATAAAATATTCTCTCACATATATATCAATGAATGAAATGAAATAAATAGGAATGAAATAAAATAAAATGAAATGAATGAAATGAAATGGAATGGAAATGAAATGAAATGAAATGAAATGAAATGAAATGGAATGGAATAGAATGGAATGAAATAAAATGAAATAGAATGGAAATGAAATAAAATGAAATGAAATGGAGTGAATCAGGTAACAATAAGGCAAAGATACCTACCTACCATTTAATATTCGTAAAGATGGTACCGAGCGGTGCTAACCATAAACACATAACAGCGATAACAAACCACTTTAGCTATTCTTATTACTATAGCTGCTATTGGTGTAATGTTTGATATCATTCAATAAGCTACCGTAATCATTTATTCTCTCTCTTTCTCCCTCTCTCTCCCTCTTTCTCTCTATTTTCATTCCTTATGCAAATAATTTTTTTTTCCTTTTAAAAAAGTAAAGAGAGAGAGAGAGAGAGACAAAAAAAAGCGAAAACCAGTGTTATAACATATTTGCATAAATAAATAAATATAAATATATTTTATATCGATGCATAAAAATGGATAAAGTATTAATTATTCTATCATTTATCCATTAGAAGGGAAAGTATTATTACTTTTACTCAAATAATATTACTAGTAATCTTAATTTTAATATTACTTTAATAATATCTTTTCTATTATAATATTAGCAATATTATTAATATTTTATTACATTATATTATAGTATTAGCAGTATTAATAATTTATAAAAAATTAATCAATATTTTTTAAAATAAATGATATTCAAATGGTAAAAATTTTTTACTGAATATTTTTATTAAATATTTTGCTAAAACATTTGTGTTACTAGTAAAAGTTACAATGATTGTATGTAAATGTATTAAAAATAAGTGTAAAAAAAAATTTTTTTTGAATATATTATAGTATTAGCAATATTAATAATTTTTTTAAATTTAGTATTAATAATAATTTAATTAATTCATAATAATTGAATAATTCTATTAAATATTATTGAAATAAAATGAAATGGATGCATTGTAATAATTGGGAAATTCAAAATTTCATACTGATCCACCGGTAAATTAAGTTAGCAATTAGCATACTGAAAATAAATTAATAATGAATCTTAGATGGATGCGAGGACTTAATAATTTTGAAATAATATTACTAAATTGGACGGAGGGGAAGAAAAGGGAGTAGGGTAATTGAAGAGAAGACAGAGATTGATAATAGAGATGAGAGAGAGGGTATTGAAAGTAGTAAATTGTGATGCAAAAGATTGAGAGTGTGTATGTGGTGTAGTTTGATTATTGAGACTGTAACATTTAATTTTTTTTTTTATTATCTTTGAGTAAATGAATTGGATGTAAATAGAAAATTTTTTCATTTGATATATTTGATTGAAAAAGAAAGATAAGAACAATATAAAAATTTTTGAATTAGGATTTAATTATTGAAATTTTCAAATATATGCAAAAGTTTGTCCTTATTTTGCATCATTTTTTGTTTGGAAATTTTTTTGCGAGAAAAGAAATTGTACTACAGAGATGATTATTTGGAATATTTAATTAAATACTAATTGTAATACACTTTAGCTTAAGCAGAATTGAAACATTCACATTATTGTTGCATTATTCCACCATACACAGTTGATAATACTTGGAAAATAAAAGGAAAAAAGGCAACATCGAAAACAATAATGCTTAAGCTTAAGCATAGAATTGTAATTTCAACTTGTTTACATTAAATATGTGGAGAGTATTTATGGTATTGCTCATCTTAATCATCTCTTATTTCTCACCTTAACCTTTTTCATCCAACTAATATTTTTGGAGCTATTGTTCAGTGAGGTGAATATTATTCAATGAAATGAAAACGAATTCGTGAAATATATCTTTAATATAAATAATGATAACTTAAAGTAACAGCGATAGCTCGTTAAAGTAATATGCTTTACTATTAACTGAACATCAACTTCTTTAAACTCTCATTACTCTTACGGATCATTATTAGGATTTTGATTTGATTTATCTTAGAAATTCTCATCCAAATCTGGAGTAATGTTCAATTAATCTTGAAATTTGTGAATGAAATATCAATGGTGCGAAAAGAAAATACAGCTGAGAATCTATGTTTCCATCCATTTTGGTGATTACATTTCAGGATGCCGGGAGCATTCGAAGATTTGCTGAATAAGTCGGATCGGTTGACGCTACCATCTAAAGTCATTCCGAAAGCATCGTCAGGATCATCGGTAATCTTAAATTGTATTTCATTTTTCTCAAATTCCTTTATTGAACATAGAAAGAAACAATTAACTAATTTTATACTCAAAGTATTGCGATTTTTGGCTAAAATCTAAGCTGTATTTAGGCAAAAAATGTTTTTTGCTGTATTGCAGTGAAGAGCAATGACGACAAAAGTCCCTATCCAATTGAACTTTTTCATGGAATTATTAGGAAATTAAAAAGCTGAAATTGAAATGAGAAATATAAATTCTTTCGTTAAAGTATGGATGAATTATCATTCCACTTCAGTACAAAACCCGTGTCGATCTTGCATTAAATGATGTTTTCCGACGCAGTGAAGATTTATGGAAAAGAAAGACCCCTGCCGAGGAACGGTTATCTGATATAGAAGTACGTTTATTCATCGTTTATGATTTTTTATACTGTGCATAATTTGACAACTTATTGTTCTCTTTTCATTTAATTAACAATTTGCTTTTAAGATGGGTTTATTATTGGGTGGAAAAGGCTTCTCACTTAGTTCAGTACCACAAATGCAAGAAGGGCCAAGTGAAAATGAAGCAGAAGTAAAGCCTTCGTCAGATTGCCAACACATGTTAAATGAAATTGTTGCTGAAACTTCGATGCGTACTCGTCTGGAAGCTGAAAGAGCATTCATGAATCAACGTGTAGTGGATCAAGCATATACGACGGCTAAATCTTTAAAGAAAACTACTCCTTCTGCTATTTCATCTTCCAAAGTTAGTCTTTTCCAGTCACTGATTAATCCTTTTAATTGTTGAAGATATCAGTAGTTATTGGGATAAAAGCTTGCTACAATGTTCAATAACTTAATGTTTATTAACGGAATGTTTTTTACACTTTTGTAACTTTCCTTTTTTATTTGTTTTTATAATTCGTATTTCTTATCATGAAATGTAGTAACTGTTAACATTTGAGCAGTCAATTAGTTTTATAAATTAATCTGTTAAATAGTTGCTGAAAGTAATTCGACCATGCTCTGTTCTTGGAGAATCATTTTTATGTATCACATTCAATATCCATGTCAAAGTAAGAATCTTCCGATTTGTTCACATATTTTAGACATAACAACTTTTTAGGTAACACACTTGGATTCCACGACTTCCATCAAACCTGGTGACAGTATAGAATTAACATTCGCTAAGGGTGTAAGTTTTTAAATTTAACACAAATTATTTTATTAAAGAAATAAGTGGAAACAATTTGATTAAGCGAAGTACATTTTTTATCTACAGAAAAGATTTTTTATGGCATAATTTAGCTTTTTTTTTCCTCTTATGTTGTTTAATTTTCAGGTTTCTGATTACATAGTTGAAAAGAAAGAGGATAAGTTGGCTATGGCTTTCAAAGAAGCTGCATCGAAATCACGTGATGATGGGATAGTCGCATTATGGGGACAGGCACTTGCTCCACTGAATCACCAATTTGTTGTTACTGGTACTGCCAAAAATTTCCGCTCTTCGATTTCCTGGATGAAGCACATCATTGATACAACTTTGGAATTTCTTCACAAGAAGTGAGCCAATTTTTAATTCTTCTAGTGTTCCATTACCTTATAGATTATATTTTAGTTAAATAAGCAGAAGTAGAGAAAGGCTATAGTAAATATTTATGTTTTGAATGCTGAACTATTCGGAGAAAATTGTTTTTATGGCAATACAAGTATGATTCAACTTCTATAAATACATATTTATACTTATTCCTAAATTATAGCAAATAATTTTCCATTTATCAGAATTAGTTATTAATTCATACAAAGTAAATATTTTTTCAGTTTTACTTCGTATATGGAAACAGTTGTGGAAAATAATTTAGCAGTCGCTCGAAGAGGTGGTAATCCAACAATGTTATCGCTTATCGATGCTTTTCTAAATGTGAAACATTTAAAACCAACTCAGCGACACACTCAGGTAGTTTGATTTTGGTATTTGTCTTTAGAAGCTATCCTTGTCTAATCATATTTTGAAAATTTTCAAGATACTGAGACTGAATTCGCATCTACTGAAAACATTCTAGCACTTTTTTCATTTAACAGTCTACCAATTTTTAGGATGGCGTGTATGGACCAAATGGACATGCCCTTTGGGAGATTGTTTATTATTGCTTGAGAGCTGGAGAACTGCAGTCTGTTGCAAAAATAGCTGATTCACATTTGAAAAACTTACCCTCATGTGCAGCTGTAACAGTTGCTCTGCTTCATCTTGAAAAAAATAAAAAGTAAGTTTCTTATAGAACTTATTTTTTCTTAGATTTTAGCGGGATTCATCCGTAACTTTTGCACATGTACTTGAATATTTGATTTTATACATAAAAAGCGCATTATTATTTAGTTTTATCTTTCAACATAACAATCGCGTTATTATTTTGATGTAGCTGAAATTATTTTGCAGATTTTATGTAATTCGGCATAATTGCTTTAAATGGCTGTCTTTAATTTAATGCCTATTTTAATTTAATCTTAGGCTTTCTGCTGATATTCGACTAAAAGTGAAAGCGGAATGGCGTTGTGAATCGCGTTCGTTTGTGGATATTTACAAAAAAGCAGTATATTGTGCTTTGCTTGGTGGTGATGTACCTGAAGTTTGCAATAATTTAGAAAATTGGCTTTGGTTGAAATTATATCCATGTGGTATAGATCCTGCACTTTCGCCTGCAGTTTTCAAAGAGCTTCAGCGACTTATATCCGTCGACTATGGTAATTTATAATTATAAATATTGCGAGTATTTTCATTTATGTATTATCTACAAATAAATGATAAGAGTGGCAGTGAATGATAGAATATTGAACAGATGTCACTTTCATAATGAAATTTTAGAAATTATCAAAATTTTACTGATTAGTTAAGATTGATGATTGACTGCTTGAGCTATAGCAGTTTGCAGCGAAATAAGATTGTAACTTGTATATTTAAGCCTACATTTTAAAATCCATATGTCGCTTTGTACAGTGCATATTCCTGTTATCTAGATATGCTGTATTAAGTAATCAAATAGTTAAATTATTCTAATTGTATAATAGGGTATTTTTTAGGTGAAAACTACTTTGTCGGTAGTGATGGAAGTGTATTAATTTATTTTCAAGCATTATGGTTAACAGGACAGTATGAACGTGCGATAAATCTACTATATAGGTTATTCATATGCTTTGTCTTCTCTATAGTATCTTTTGTTAGAATTTTTAATTTATCTGGACTTAAACTATTGGTATACAAAGCTTTGAAAGTAATGAAAATTTTCAATAATTTGTAATATTTTTGCAATCTAAAAATTTTTCTTTTGTGATATATAAAATATAGAATTTTTCTGGACTGATTACTTGCTCATACAAAAAAAAAAAAAAAAACAAGCTAGCAGTAAAATTAATTTGAAATTATAGAAATAATATGTTGATGCATGCAATTCATATGGCCATTTTATTATTTCTCAACGGTGTGCTGATTCTTGTTGATGATATTGGCCATTCAATACGTTAGTTTTTTTTTTTTTTTTGAAATCTTAAAGTTACTTATTTTTACAGTTTTAAACAATCTGATGGAAAACTAGTAGAACAGCTTAATCTATAGATTTTATAAAATGCTATATATATATTTAATATATCGTAGTAATACGAATTTGATCTATTTAAATTCAGTGTTCAGTCAGCAAGAAGACCCAGTACAAAGTTCTCTCAATTTTTGTCGCCTTATTTTGCTCTATGTGAAAGGATTTGAATGTACTGATGTTGAACGTACTTTGGATTATGCATATTTTTTAAACAAGATGGAATCACCTGTTGGTAATGATTTTATCATATATAAATAACATTGTAATTTGATTTCTTCAATTCTTAATGTATTGTTAAGTGAGGAAGGAAATTTTCCCGCAGATTTTGAATGCACTTCGAAATATAATTATGTTATCAATTGAAATTGAGAGTAAAATGAATGAAGATGTTGGGGAGAAATTTCTAAGGTAAGAATATTTATTAATGCGGTTGAAAGGATCTAAAGAAGTCAATAAAACTATGACAAACATTGCTGACTTGTTACTGCATTGAATTTAGAAAGTTTAGTTGATATTGATAAATCCTCATTGTTATTACTGAACAAGAGACAAAAAGTCTAGTAATTTAAAGAAAATTAATTGCTGTTGCAGGTGGGAATTTATTTTACTCTTGCATTTCTCGTACGATTTATTTGACTGATGAAACATGGCGAATTATTGGGAAAATTAATGAAAAAGGTGCTCGACATGAAGGTTTAATCGATAAATACGCCAAAGATATCGATATAGAAGATGCTATCGCAAAAGTAGCCTCAGATACTGAAGTTAGCGGTGATGGAACTCTTGCTGGACAACTTTATGTGGCTGCTAATGTTAGTTTTATTCTTTATTAAAATTTTTATGTGATCTTTGAATAGTTTTAATAGAAGTATTTTTTGGTTGAAAAATTGTTTATAAATTGGGTCATTAGTTCTCAAATTTTGATTGGTTTTTTTCATAAATGTAATGTAAACTTATCTTATGTACAGCATGTCGATGACGCAATACGATTGGCTTGCGAAGGTTTAGCTAAAGAGATAATTCATTACAAGGATGCCGGTGAAGCTCGTGAGCTTGCGCTATGGATTGCAAATATTTGCAAACATTCGACGACAACAGCTCGAAAGAATACATTGGATGCACTTCCAACTTTATATCTTTTGCTTGACTTGTCCACGTTTTTCCAATTTTATCATGACAGGAAGTAAGTTGATAATTTCAAATTATTTTGCTTATCATATTATTATTCTAAATGAATGTGACTGGTTATGTCATCTAGATTCATGCGAAAATGCGAAGTTATCATTGCCAATGGTTTAAATATGTGTTAGCTATGATATGAGCAATAAATTAAAAATAATAAAACCTTATAACTCATTTACTTATTAGAAATGCAAGAATGATATATTTATACTCAGAATTTCAATAAGGAAATTAAACTAAAAAGAAATTATTTTTATAATATCTGTCTAACAGCTCAGCATTAGATGATCATCTGATGCATATCTTTTAAGAATTATTTCTAGATTTGAAGCATGTATGGAAATAATAAAGAAACTGAAATGCATACCGATGAATCCAGATGAGGTGCAAGCATTTGTATCTACGTTTTACATGGTCTCTGATCAAGTCTGTTTTTGTTTTTGTTTTTTTTTTTTTTTTTGTGGAGTTAAAAATGTGGAGCTTTTTTTGTTTGAGAATTGCTAAAAAGAAAAATACCAACAATTTAACCTATTGGTTATGCATCATGAAAATGTTATAAATAGATACACATTTTTGCGCATTTTCATTTTTTTTCCTTTTTTTTGTTTTCATTTTTATTTATTTCTTGAACTTTCTTCGTAAATAGCTAATCTTTCAAAAATTTGCTTTACATTGCTAAAAGTTAATTTCCTTATTGAAATTTTTTAGTAACTCTTATTTATTTCATGATAAAACTGACTCTTTTTATGAATTAAAATATGTTTCAAGTGGAATTAATAAAGCTTATGATTAATTATACTTAATAATATTAATCTGTAGTAACATTAAGAGCATTATATTAGGAATTAAATTTTTTTTGGAGAACTTTTTTCTCGACCTTTCAGATACGGCTAGTGCTACCAGATTTATGCGTGGCAGTAATGAAATTGTTAGCGGAAGAATTAGATCGTAATCCAGCAGCAAGTGATCAACTTAGACCATCAGCCAAAGCAATTATTCTGTATGTTGCGATGATTCCATATCGATTTCCCTCACAAATTAGTACACAAATTTTGCACTTAAGCACTATTTTTGAATGACTGAAACTTTTTGACATGAGATTTTATCATATTTTTCATCCTGTTGATTAGTGATTAACTGATTGTATTGTTAAAATTTATTCTGACAATCACTTTTTTTTGAATTAAGGTTAAGAATTTGAAGAAATTTTATCATTAAACTTTATAATGCTAATGAGTTGCTTAATTAGCTTGAAATCAAGCATAATTATGTTCCCGAATTATGTTTTTTTAATTATGTTCAAGTAATTATTTCCATTCATCTTTCTGTCCATCTACAGTATTCGTCTTCTTTTGCATTCTTTTTGATGTAATTGTATTTTAAAATATTGACATTTAAAGTTTTGATCAGAATAAATTTTAAGAACACATATGTTTTGCATTGTGCAATTCTTTGGTAGACTACCATTTAAATTATCTTTCCTGGATATTATTACTTTATTATTCGAAATTTATTTCTGCAGCATAGTGTTTTCTTTTTTTCTTAATTTCGAGATTGACATATTTTGCGCATTCATGTCTACGATTTCATATTTGACCGTTAAATTGAACAATTAATTGTTCTGCTAGACGAATATTACTTTAAATTTTATTTTCTAAATCTTTTGCAGCTTTGTAATATGCTAGACGTTTGGTTTTATATGATTCTCAATATATTTCACTATGCACATTTCAAAGATGAATTTATTAAATTTTATATATTGATCATTAGAAATCAATTCTTTGAATTTAGAGCAACATTCAAATACTTATCAGTATTTCTGATTGTTCAAAATTGGATTTTCATTTCAAAATTTTTCTTATTCATTTTAAACATTACTGATCTGTTGTTAACCAGAACTTCAGGATTTATAAGATTTAAAAATTATTACATTAGTCTGATTTTCAGATGTTACAAATTTTCTTAGCATAGAAATGAAGCGATAGTTTGAAAATTTTTGATCGTAAAGGAAGGATTAGTTGATAAGCACAAATGACAGAGAGTTACAAATCATCGATGATTTAAAAGATTATAAATTATGAGAAAATCGAAAGATAGTAATTGAAGCTCGTAATTTATAAATTTATTTCATACACATATGTTCAAATGTTGTTTACAGCTTATTCTCACATTTATCAGTGGAAATACACTTTAGTTCATGAACTTTATACTATCTTAAATTAATATCATAAATAGTAAACTCATTGAATACAATTTTTACAACAAATGTTCGCTAATTAAAGTACAAAATAACATTTTGGGAAAAATGGTAAGGGTAAAGATATTATCACTTAATATTCTTATAAAATATATCGATAGTTGGAAGTATTTCGATGAAAAAACGAAACGGAAAGAGGCGATATGTTTGATATTTTAAAATTATTTGAATAAATTCTTTAAAAAATGATAGCTTCCAAAATTCTTTCATTTTTGATTAGAAACATTAACAACACAGAAGTAATTGTCTTGATTTTTTTTTTAAAGCTAAATTTGAATTATTAGTAATCAGTGTTAGAAATACAGGTTATATTAAACTTGTCTATATTCATCAACCATATTTATTCATTAAAATAACGAGTTGAATTTTTCTTTATATTAAAAAAACAATTTATTCATCAATGAATTATTTTTTATATTATACTTTGAATTATTTGTATTGTATACTTTGGTTTTCATACTTTTCGGTTTTATATGCTGCTGCAAAGAACATTACAAGAAATAGCTAACTGAGAATTTCAGATATTTGATAATTTTATTTATCTTGCTTATTGCTGTTTTTCACCAATTATTGCTACGTTTAACAGCAGAAGTGTAAAATGTTTGCGTTGTTGAAAACCGCTTCCAGAAAACGTCAATTAACTGAGCAGGCACGGTAACTGAATTTATAAATTTCATTATAATAAAATAATGATTTTTGAAATTGATTATTTTCACTGTCTGTTGATCTTTTAAAAAATAATGTGACATCCTTTCTTATTAATGTTTATTAACTTTTTAACTTAGTGAAAGCTTTTTTGATCAAAAATCCTATGATCATTCCTGTTTTTGAATTGTTTGATGATTAATTAATTAGTCCATTGATAGGTTTATCAAAGTTATTGTTACATAAGCAAAAACAAAACTTTTTTCCATTAGTTTGGGTAAGACACAGATATGCAAAAAAAAAAAAAAAGAAAGAAATGAAATACCTGATATTTCATACTAGAATAGAGGAGATGAATTATTAATATATTATATTTTGCTAATATCGTTTTTTTTTTTTTTTTTTTTTATTTAGCATCTGACTATTTTGAAGAAATGTTATGATTTTTACCTTTAAATTAAATTCAACTTTTTAATTTTTGTTCAATTATAAAGCTTATCAATAGTTTGAAAAATTTTTTCTTCATCAATCAAGAAAACAACATTATTTTTATTGATTAAAATGAAAATGAATACTGTGTTGGAAAAAAAATTGAATTTTTATCAAATTAAAATTTGCAGTAATAAATTTACAATAGGAAGTTATGTAGGCATCTTAGTGAAGTACCAAAGGATGCATTTGCATTAATTGTTGGTGGTGGTGTTGTTGGAACATCATTAGCTTATCATTTAACACTTCGTGGTATTCGTGATGTAGTTTTATTGGAGAGAGGAAAACTAGTCGATGGCATATCACTGCATTTGGTTTGAGTTTCTAATCATTTAATTTTTTTTTCTTTAAGTTTAAAATTTATTACACAAATTTCACCTAAAAAAATTCTAAGTGAAATTTAAGTGAAAAATGCTTTAATGAATTGTAATTTTTCTTTATTTCTTGAAATTTCTAGAATTTTACGATAGCAAATTTTTGTTTTGTGTATGAAATCTTTGATTTGAAATTAATTAAGTTAAGGTAATTTATAACACATGAATTTGTTGGATGTCTTTGTGTTATAGAATGATTCTTCATCCTCTTTTTTTTTCATAAATTGGCATAGTGATTGATTTAAATTGTTTAGATATTTAAAAAAAAAAAAAAAATATATCATTTTAATTCTATTTTTAAATTTGTAGCCAGGTTTGGTTAGCTCAGCACATCCAATTCATCGCTACAAACCATTTCTTGCATGGTCTGTTGAACTATATGTACGTTTACAAGAAGAAGCAGATGAAGTATGTCTTTTAAAATTAAACCCCTCTTAAGCTTTGGAATTTTTGTAATTTTTTTTTTTTTTTTTTTATTGAAGTTTCTACCAGAAAGATTAAAATTTCTGCCAAATTATATAATTCTTTAATTTATTGCATATATAATTTTAGAAACTTGACTTTTTTCGTCCTGGGACATTACGATTAGCAACTGATGAGGCACGTTTAGATGAATTTCGACAGTACACAGCTCGAGATTATTTTCAAGTACTTTTCATTTTTTCTATAAAAAATGAACTAAAATGAAAATTTTTTAAGTTGTTGAATGAATATTTCAAATCTTTTTCTAATTTCTACTCTATGCTACTATTGTTTTTCCATCATATAAATTCAAAAAAAAAAAATGCTTAATTTCATACTAAAATATTAAAAGTTTGATTAATAATTTTAAGAATCTTGTATCTGTCATTTACATAGCAATACGGATGTTTTTTTTTTTTTTTTTTTTAAAAAAAGTGTTTCCTAAAATATTTTACAATTTTTCAATCTTCTTTACAGAAAGGTGATGTAGCAAAAACAACACTGATTGATGCTAACAAAGTGAAACATTTGGCACCTATTTTGGATGCAAAAACTATTTTGGGAGCTTTATATACATCTGGCGATGGTTATATAAATGCTCAAAATTTAACACTTGCTTTGGCTAAAGGTGCTGAAAAACGCGGTGCAGTGCTTATCGAACAATGCCCAAAAATTACAGAAGTGGAAGAGGGAAAAACTGATTGGGTTGTGAAGTTTGATGATGGTAGACAAATACGAACTCGAAATATTGTTAATGCAGCAGGTAGACTATTCTATTGTTAGATTTAATTAAAAGTAATTAAAGATGGTCATTTCTTAATGAATTTTATTTGGTTTTACAATTTTTAATGGCTCCTTTTTTTGCTAAATTTCAGTTTATAATTGGAGATTGATATTCATATCAAATATTTTAGATTGTATTTTTATAGTACTTCTGATACTACAATAGAAGTTTTCAGTATTGTTTATTTATGAATAAAGAGAAAGACATGGAGAGAGAGAGAGAAAGAGAAAGAGAAAGATAGAAGGTCTTTCAGGATCTTTCAAGATGTTATTGTATCTTTTAGTATTAATGTGAAATTTTATTTGTATCAATGGATTTCATTTATGCTATATTTGGATGAAACCTTTATAGTATTAGCATTTTGATTGTGTGTTGTGTTTTTTTTTTTATAAAGAGAATTTCAGGTTTATGGGCTCGAGAATTTGGTCGTTTGACAAATTTAGATATACCGCTTGCAATAGTTGAACATCAGTTTGCTCGTATTGGTCCTTTACCTGAGGTAAATCAAATTTTTCTTTTTTTAAGAAATTTAAAATTATTTGGAAAGTAGAAGTTTTCTTATCAACAACAGTAGCCCAACTATAATAGCTAAATTAATAATTTGGGATTGATTTTCATGATTGATCAAATATTTTAGATTGTATTTTTAGTCGAGAAAGCAATATGCAATATTATCTTAAAATTTAGGTAGAACCGCTATTGGATTTGCCAGCTATTATAGATCATGAAAGTACGTTTTATATACACAGAGAAGGTGATAGTTTGTTATTTGGTGGTTTCGAGCAAAAACCTTCAGATGTTGTTATTCGGGAAGATTGGATAGAACGCATGCCGGAAGGTATGCTTGGAGTTCTTTTTTTTTTATGTAGCACAAAAATATAACCCTGCTTGCTTTATTAGGATTGTTTTTATTTAATTGAATTTTCACGATAATCTTTCATAAAGGATTTTGAAAAATATAGTGAATTAGAAGATAGCAAAATAATGAAGATAGTAATTAATCTTATAATAAAACTTGGAGGGAATAACATTTCTGTGCTATGCTTTAAAGTTTTTGGAATAGTAGTG